TCTATATATTGTACTGTGTTTGTTCAGTATTATCAATATAGAAAACCTTCTCAACCTTTCAGTGGTATCAGAGCCATACCTTCTCTCACGAGACCTCCGATCCCATGGCCACCCGTGTCGAGACTCCCAATTCTGCAGCATCCAAACACTCAGCCATAACCGTGCTTGAACCCAACATCACCCTCCATCCAATTTCCTTTACCTTGGCAGCTTTTCCCGTCAAACTCTCACCCAACAACTATCTATCTTGGAAGGCTCAATTCGTGTCTCTTCTTGGAGGCTACGAACTTGATGGTTTCCTTGATGGAACTCATCCTTGTCCTGTTGCAACCGAGCCAACTTACAGTTTATGGGCACGCCAAGATCAACTACTTCGACACGCCCTAATCACCTCTGTTTCGGAGAACATCACTCCTTACATAGCTGCTGCAGCCACTGCACAACAAGCTTGGGAAACCTTAGCAAAACTTTATGCCAATCGCTCTCGCACTCGGGTTATAACCCTCAAGGAACGACTCCAAACCATGAAACGTGATGGCCGTCCAGCCTTAGAGTATCTTCGCTCTCTAAAAACCATCGCAGACGAGTTTGGCACTGTGGATCGTCCACTTTTTTGATGATGATCTCACTGTTTATATATTGAATGGTTTAGGGCCAGAATTTCAGGAAATAACTGCATCTCTTAGGACTTCATGGAGGAGATTTACTCTGAGACTGGATGGCCATCACGTTTCATGGTTTGGAGCCGTTCCTTGAGGGTTATAACCTGAGTGTGAGAGCAAGTGGCATAAAGTTTTGCTAAGGTTTCCCAAGCTTGTTATGCAGTGGCTGCAGCAGCTATGTAAGGAGTGATGTTCTCCAGAACAAAGGTGATTAGGGCGTGTCGAAGTAGTTGATCTTGGCGTGCCCATAAACTGTAAGTTGGCTCGGTTGCAACAGGACAAGGATGAGTTCCATCAAGTTCGTAGCCTCCAAGAAGAGAACACGAATTGAGCCTTCCAAGATAGATAGTTGTTGGGTGAGAGTTTGACAGGAAAAGCTGCCGAGTTAAAGGAAATTGGATGGAGGGTGATGTTGGGTTTAAGCACGATTACGGCTGAGTGTTTGGATGCTACAGAATTGGGAGTCTCGTCACGGGTGGCCATGGGGTCGGAGGTCTCGTGAGAGAAGGTATGGCCCTGATACCACTGAAAGGTTGAGAAGGTTTTCTATATTGATAATAGTGAACAAACACAGTACAATATATAAAAAAAGAGAACTGCTAAGCCTAATCTAATTAGGAAAGAATATATATAATATTTACAATTGCAACTTTGAGATCTTTGAAATCTAAGAATTCATAGAAAGGATCCATCACTTCATGGAGGAGATTTACTTTCCTTAATACATACATCTTGGAAAATCCCTGGAAATTTGTTGCTGATGATTAGATAAGTGTCAGATCCCCATTATATGTGTCGACACCCTAACCTATTTTGAAAAAGAGTCCGCGGCCTTTTGGAGTACCATGCAATCTCTTAAAAGCTAATATTACATAACTTAGTAAATTTGTTTGTTTTGAAATTAGTATAAGTTAGGTGCTTGGTAAAATTTTTTATTAATGGTTTAAAATTAGCGAATAACAATTATAAAACAAATTGTTAGTAGATTAAAAAAGTTACATTGGGTAGCTTCTGTATCAAACTGTTAGTATATTGATATTTTTAAATTTTATTAACAAATTTATCTTTTTTAATTTTTTGTTATAATATGTAATTACCACTTATCTAATTGATTTTAACTTCATTTTTTCTCTTTAGTAACATTAAGTAGTTATTATAGTTTTATTTTTTTATATTAATATATCATTAAAAAATTATATTAACTTAATAAATAAAATTTGTTTATTAGACAAAATAATTAAAACTTTATTTTTTTATTTATTTAAAAATAAGAATGAGTGTGTGGTTCATACTTTTATATTTCATTTATTTATTATTATTATTCTTTTATAAAATTAATAATTTTAATAATAAAATATATTTAAAAACACTTAATTGCTTTTAAACCAGATCATCTTAGTCATTTAATATCAATTAATAATCATTAATGATTGTACAATCAAATAATTATATGAATCAAAATCCTCTATTTACAATCCATTACTTACTAACCGTTATTCATTATTTGTTATTCGTTAATTGTCACTTACTATCTGTTGCCTATTATCTGCAATTTGTTAGATTTTAACCATTATACTATACATGCCTAAATATTTAGCCTATTATCTGCAATTTGTTAGATTTTAACCATTATACTATACAAGCTTAAATATTTAGACTTTAGTGCTTAGATTTTTGACAATTAAATGTTGTGAGGGTTTTGATTTTTAAATTTTAATATTTATAATGTTAAGATTTAAATTTTTAGGGTTTAGTATTTTGAGTGTTAAGATTTATTATAATTTTAAAATTTAGCATTTAAAGTTTACATTATAGCATTTATTATTTTAAGACTATGCATGATTTCGGTCAATTAGCCTTAACAATTTTTCTCTTTCTTTTTTTATTAATCAACTAGCCTTAACAATTAATGATGATGAGTATTGGGTGGAAGAGCTTTTTCTTTTCTTTTTGATATATCTGATAATAATATATTATATAAAAAATAATTTTTTTCATTTAAAAAAATTTTTCTTCATTCAATGGAAAGATTTAAATTAAATATTTTAAATTTTAAAATTTAAATTCTTAATTATTAAATCACTTTTTAAGTAATGAAGCTAGGAGTTGCCAGCTAATATTATGCAATTAGTAGCCGAAGATATAGGAAAGTTCTGAGAAAGTTCTAATAATCTGTATGATGTTATTATCGAAGTGAAAGAAAGAAGAAATGGACGTTAAAGGACAGAAGGTCTCCAGGCCGTTGGTCCCCACAACTTTTTCATTTTTCTTCCATCACTATAAATTTTTATTTTTTAATCCTCACTAGGCCTTTTATTTTTAATATAGTAATTGCATTGCTTTTTTAGACATGATACACCATAATTTTAAAATTAATTAATTTAAAATTATATAAATATTTCACAAAATTTTATATATCCTATTTAATTTATATATACAAGGACAATATAGAACAAACATCGACAATCAAGAGAGAGGAAGGCCTTACTTAAGGAGGTTAATTTTTTTTAACAATAATGAAATAATATAGTAACAAAACACACAATAACTTTGAAATTAATTAATTTAAAATTACATAAAATTTCATATGTACAAAAGTCAGGCTATTATATACCATCTATTAAAAAATTATATTTATTATATTTTTAATTTCTTAAATAAATTATAATGTGTTATCAAATTAATAAATATTATGATTTTATATAAATATAATATATAAAACTTATATGTAAGGGAATTATCTGTTTATATAATATTATGAATAAATCCTTAAATAAAAAATCAATCATTTTATAATAATATGAAATTGGGTTTTTTTAGGCAAAAAGGGCATAGGTCAATAGTACGTTTTTAACATTAATTGTTATTAAAAAATAAAAATTAACTTTTATTTAATTAGCTGTATAATTAAAATAATTCATATGATATTGATAATAAAGTTAATGTTAATTTTGTTATTTTTAATATAAATTAATGATAAAAAAATATATTAATTAACCATTAATCTATGACCTAAAGGCATAAATTAAAAAATATTATGAAATTAGAACATTATCAGTTTCAACCAATAATCTAATAAGTTTAGGGTAATTTTTTTTTTGTAAAAATAAAATATTTTAAGTTTAAATTCTATAATATATAAATAGAGTGTGATAAATAGTATAAAAAATTACCTTTCATATTATAACTTTAAAATAAAATAAAATAAAAAAACACCGTCATCATTTAAGAGAAAAGGAAGAAAAAAGAGACATATCACATTCCAAACATCAACCATCACGAAAGAACAAAGAAATTGTCATTCGTGACCCCATTTGGTATTAAAGTTTGCACTAAAATTATATTAAAATAATATTTATAACACCCCAACCACGATAGATTGCCTAATAAAAAAGGCACAATTAAAGGGTTCTTGTGTTTGAACAATTTAAGGAATGGGGAATGAAAGTTCCAAATTGTGGGTACCCTTACTTTAGGGCCTACTACGATTGATTCCACGCATAACTGGAAGAAGTGCAGCCATCATTCAATGCAAGGTGACAACTGGACCAATTGGTTTGCTAACTAAACCTAACAACTTAAATTTAAGTTGGTTGGGAATTTTACTTTTATTAATTATTTGAAAAATAATTTTCTTTCCCATTTTTCCACTATAAATTGCCATACCATACCTGGCGTCCCTCGAGCTCGACCCACAGTCATCTTTCTTCAACAGCTTACAGGATATTCATGTTCCGACCTAATGGTTAAAACCTTTATTTAAGTGAAAATTACTTTTCATAGGTTATGTTTTTAAATTTCATGGGTCTTACTTTTCTTTCTCATGAATTACCCTGTTAAAAAAAAATCAATTTAACAGCGTACTGATAGCAGATGGCTATTTCTTATTTGACGGGGTCTGGAAGTGAATACATTTAATTGGCAAGTAGTACAAAATAAAATTTCAGTTAAATATGGTTTTTTAATTTGTGTATTAAAAAGGTTATATCCCCGATTCAGTCCCTCAACTTTCATTTTTGAACTAAAACTACCCTCGAACTTCAAAAAGTACTAAAAAAATCATTGAACTTCAATTTTTGGGACGAATTTCGTCCTTCCGTCGACGGAAATGACAGATGGCACGTCAAGTTGCCACAAAATCAATTTTTGTTTGAAATCTTTAATTACGTGGAAAATAACTAGTCCACGTCATCCTTCATTACTCCGATCATCCTTCATTACTCCGATTATCCCTCATTACTCCGGTCATCCCTCATTGCTCCGATCATTTATTACCACTCCAATCACCATCTACTTCTTCCCCAAACCTCCTCCCTAATAGAACTCAATAAATCTGATTCAAAAAATCAATTCCTCTACAAATGTATACCAGATCTGCAAAGAAAAATGGAAAAAACACCACATTCCTTCAATCAACATCAATAGTAACTAGATCTGGAAATTCAAGCAATTAGAAACCACACCAAACTCGAAATCCCATTCAAGCATGACTGCAAGCCAACAAAGAAACAGAACAAAAAAACCCAGGCAAGTTCGACTCAAACCCAAGCGCTGGGTTCTGAATCCAGTGCCTGGGTTCGAGGAACGTTCGAACCCAGCACGCCTGGTGCCTAGACCCGCGCCTGGGTTCGAGGAACCCAGGCGTTGGTGCTGGGTTCGAGGAACCCAGGCGTTGGTGCTGGGTTCCTTCGAACCTAGTAGGGGAGGGGAAGGAGAAAAGGAAAGAGAAGGAGAAAAAGAAAGGAAAGGAAAGAAAAGAAAAAAA